AGACCGAACTCTTTATTTTGGAATGGGGGGAGGGAAAAAAGGCACTTACCTGATTCACAGGAAAATGTCTTGGATGTGTCGTCACAGAAGATGATCGCCACAGCATGCTTTTTTGTCTCCCGCGGCATCCGGGTAATGTTCTTGATGTTATGGAGCTCAGTGATCTAAAGAGGAAGGGGAGAGTGGCAGCAGCACATTACCTTGAATGAGCACAGCCAGCAGCAGAGGCTTAATTGTCTTAATCTTGCACTGCTTCGCTGAGAGTGCAATAGTAGTTAGCGGCTTAGCATATAAAGGATGGCAAAGTAAAACAGAAATGTGGGTGATCTTAAGGGATAGATAAATAATAGTAATTTTACCGCTGATTAGGAAGAGCTCTTTTCAAAACGTAAGAAATCATCCACAGTGTCAGCTCTCTGGTGGTTGCTGCAGTGTGTGTAGTATGTCATATACTGCTATTTATTTTAAAAGCACTTTGTGAATAAAATGCGACCTGATGCTCGGTCTCTATGTGCATCCATTGTTCCGGTCCCTGTCCTTGTAACTGCTTTTTCAGTCAATAGGGAGGAGTGCGATCAAAGGCATCTAAATCACTTTACCAGGAGATTGATCGCGAATGAAAAAAGAAGAGAAGATTACATTTAATTGAATATCACCCGCATTTACAGGCCATTTTGTTCAACAGTCTTCACTGTGTTCACTCTGCCTGGGAGATAAGGCCCATTACATTATTGTAGTCCATTGTGTGCTAACTGTGGGCCCTTTGCCAGATTGTTGGGAATGAATTAGCTGGGCTCCCTGCCCGTATAGTAAAGCTCGACTGTTTAAGGTTAAAAGACCAGACCTAATAACACACACAACATATGTGGACTACAGATTTCTTTGCCCGATAACACTGCATATAATAAATTCCCCCTCTAATGTCAGACATCCTCTGCTCAGCAGATTTTCAAAAAGTGTTTCAACAAACGAAACAAGGAAACAGAAAAAAAGAAGAGGAGGCTATGGATATTGAAAGATAGCAGATATTTTTCATTTGTTATTTCTTATCCCCCTTAAAGATAGTATCTAAATATTTTATATGAGATTAGGTGATTTTGTTCCCCCTGTGCAGATACTGTATGTATTTGTCCTTGGGCAGGCTATTCATACATATAACTGCCACAAAGCAACAGAAGGAATTTCTGAGCCGTGAATTCTACCAGCCTCTCATCTCTTTCTCTGTTTGTGTTCAGTGTGTAACACTGCATGTTTTAGTCTCTCTTCATGTGCATGTGTGTGTGAAGATGTGTTTCTAAGGGAGAGGTTTGGGTGCATTCCCAGCCTAAGGGCGCTAGAGTCCGAGCAAAGTGAATCATTTGTGATGAGACCTATTCCTCATCTCCTCTCCTCTTCTTTCTTCTCATTTATTTAAAGGTGTAAGTTAAATCTCATGTAAAGAAGAGTCTACAACCACGGTAGCTAGAGGAGGAGTCAGGGAATCACCAAAGTCATTAGGATTCATCCTCTGGGGACCATGAATGCACAAAATGTCATGGCAATAAATCCAATAGTTGTGGACCAACTGACCGACCGGCACTTGTGTGGCTAAAACTGACCCCCCTTTTTGCTTTACTGGTTATTTCTACTTCCATATGCACATACAGTATTTAGGCATTTAAATACAGCTCCATCTTTCCACTTTAGCTGCCTTTGTCAGGAGCTCAGGAGAGCTCTAGAAATGTAGCACACGGAAAAACAACATTTCACAGGGCTAAAAATATTGCAAAAAATATTCAGGGATTGTTTTACTGTGTGGACCAGCACTTCTCCGACTGAGAAAAAGGCACAGGGAGGGAGAGAGATGGGAGTAGGGGGGGTATGTAGAAGCGAGAAAGTGGGAAAGAAAGCCAATCCCTTTTGTGTTGATTCTGTAAATCAGCCACCAGTGCAGCCTATTTCCTCCCAAAGCACTGCAGCGTTGAATGAAGCCCTCAGACGGGACCTTTCTTGATCTTTGTGGCGATGCATTACCAGGTGCACTGGTGCATGTGCGCACTCATCGCTCACTCCAGCGCTGGGTGTATGAGATGCCTGTGGGAGGGGGTTTAAAGTCGCACAGGACGCCCCGTGTGACAGCATGATGCAGTGGGCAGAGAGATGCTTCATTCACAATACATGGCTGATATTGTAGCGGCGAGGGATTCTAACAAAGTGGATCAAACCATGTACCTAGCTTGTGCTTGCTGCTTTCGGGGAAAATTGAGGAAATTACAAAAATGTATAATTTACACCGTATTTGAGAAACCCCCAACTTAATTCATGATTATGAGGGAGCAGACAGACTGGTAGGGACTAATAAATCAGCTCTCAAACTGCAGCCATGTAGGAAACCTGGTGTCAAAGTCCCCTATCATCTGCTGTTATCTCCTCTCATTACTATAAAACACTGTTCACGGTCCTACTCCTTTAACATCATCTCCCCTCACTATGATAATGAGCTATAATTGGACTATTTCAAAGGGCTTAAGAGGCGGGGAGAGAGATATATTATACTGCAGATTATTACTTTCCAAAGGGAGGGAAAAGGCCCCAGAGGAGAAGATAAAGTTGCAAAATGTGCCTTAATGGATCCTTAACTCCATCATCTGTGGCCAATGGACAGAACTTTTTATATGAAGATGAAAACAAGGTTCTCGGTAGGAGTGTGTAATACAGCTGTGTGCTCAGTGATGGCCTTTATTTCAAAGGTTTAATATTCTTTCTTGTTTTCATAGAATGTAAAAACACCCACCGTCAATAACTTAACCTTATACTGCTTTATGAAACATTTTCCTTGCTGTTTTAGGAGAAAATATCTTGTGCCTAAATACTATTTCCGGCTCCTCATTTTTGGTGGGCGAGCACTGGCGTCAGATTTTATCAGCTAAAGCTAATTAATTCCACCAGTTGGCCAAATTGCAAAATGAAACCTTTGGCTGTTGTCTGATGAATGTGCTCTGCATGCCGATGTAGCAGTAGCATTTAGACTCGGCCAGAGACGGTTCCCATGGGAGAGGCACACCAGGTTTAATCTCCTTTTGGTATTCAAGAAGACAGAGACACACTTTACCATTCGTGATCCTCTGGGGACCATGACTATCTGCAGGAGATCAGACTTTAGTGCTGTCAAATGGGAATGGTTGTCTGATGGTGGCGTTAGACAAAAGGCCAGGGTTACCAAATCATCAGTAATCATATTCTGGAGATTATGAATATTGAATCCTAATTTTGTGTCAATCTGGTCGCTACGTCTTGATCAATCGCAGGGCTTACTGGTATCAGGCCTCACTGTTGTAAAAAAAAAAGTTAATTTAAACCACTTGATTATTAAAACAGGGCTTGTACATATCCATAAAGCTTCAGATACCGCCATATATTTTGTGAATTTATTTACTTGTATTGATAAAGCACTGTGATTTTAGGAAAGTGCTTTACATTAAAATATATTGTTCAGGGTTGCAACAAATGACAAATTTCATGATGCCAATTAATTTTTTGAATAATCGATTAATCTTTGGTCCAAGATGTCAGAGAAACAGAGAAAATGACGATCTTAATTTTTTAAAGCCATGAGAGATGTTTTTGAGATTCTTTAAAAAAAAAATTTCTCATGTAAGATGTCATTTCTCAACATTATCTGACATTTTATAAATTAGTAAATCTATAAATAGAGAAAATAATAGGAATATTTACTCATAAAATCAATCGACTAATCTTTTCAGCTTTAATATTCTTATGACTCTAGTGCTGTGCAGTATTTTAAAAAAGATCGATCAATAGATGAAGACAAATTGATTGAAAATCTGATTAATCAGAATGTAATATATAAGGTGTTTCAGTCGTGTGTGTTTACCTTGTGGAAACTCCTGAAGTACGCTGCCTTCTCATCTGGGTACTTCTCTAACCGTCGGGGTCCTTTGCTGGAGGCCTTCTTGAACACCAGCCAACACCTCCGGAAGATCTGACAACAGAGAACGATGGCAAGCCTGTTACCGAAACACAACTCTCTCAGAAAGAAATACATTAAGGTAGGTAACAGACTACAGCAAAACACAAACTGACTGTCCAGAGAAGTTGATTCCCGCAAACCACAAGATAACAGACTAGGAGAACTCAACCTGACATCATATTAACAGCACAGAGAAATCATCTCTTGAAATACCATGGCAGAGAGCAGAGAAATCAATGCCTGCCGACACCCTAGAATTCAAGCTTAATATTAACAATCACAGCCCACCTTGGCAAAGTCTCCAAACATCAAAGCAACTGAACAATTTAAAGTAGCTGTGACTGTTTTTCCATTCATCAAAATATAGAGTGGCCTTGGGGTTCAATCGTTAACCATTGGAAAGCACTGACAGTATGTCCATAAAACTGTTTCTTACCCTGATTATATACTTAAGCAAGCTGATATCAAGATGATAGTAAAAGCACCAAACACAAGACTCTGGAGAGGAAATGAAACCATTATGCCCCATGAATCAAATGCCTCTGAAAATAAAGCTTTTGGAATGTATCTCATTCAAATGTTATAATCTCATTATTAATGCATTTAGATAATACACTGGTCTGTCTGTGAGCTGATTGTGTATTATATGAGTTTTAGGACTTTAGTAAATGCTTTCAATTTGGTCAATGCCAACTATAATTACTCTTCCTCTGATTGCATGCATGGGTTCATGGAAGTATTATGAGCAGACAGGTCATTTAGACATTCGGGCATCTACTACAGTACATTAAAGAATCTGTTATTCTCTAACAAATGACTTTGATGAGATGAAGGATTAGGATGAGGACAAAAGTTGAGCAAGGTTAAGCTGTGTTTACACGGCAATCTCAGTATGAATAGGGCCCTAATAGGTCTGCCTAGCTAGCTGTATGAATCAATGGATATAGACAAATTAAATATCACAAAAATGTTAAATTCAGAAACTGCACATCCAAGTACTGAATTCAACAATGTACAGCACCACTGCCTAAACTAGAGGTTCAATTTTAATGGCCAAGTGCCAATACTGAGAGTGATCATGGACTGGGAATTTTAGGAAAATTCAAGCAGTTATGTTTGATAGAAGGACAAGTGAATATCCCATACACAAGTGAAAGCAATATCATCAAGCGAGCTAGAATTCCTTACACTTGGATCCAAATTAAGCAGATGCAGTCTCTCAGTAGTTATTTGTTATCTTTTTGTTGGCGAAAAATTGGGTTTGATTTCCTAAAAGTGTGTAAATGTCCTCTTCCTCTGAAAGCTATGCCCACCAAAACTGCCTGCCCAGCAAATGCTATAGTATTAAAAATATAAATTCAAATTACGTGAGAGAAATGGATATTTAATTTCACATATTTTTCCTGAAAAGGAATGTAGGTACCTAAAAAAATAATTTGATTTATTCAAGGATTTCTTTATTGCCTATTAATTAATATCCAAAATTCTGTGTATTTTATTTATTCAGTGATCCATTTATTTCCCAGTTCCTGAGTGAATTTACTAGTTTACTAGTTTCAGGCATTTAACTGCATTTCAGAATACATGCGTACACATGCAAATATTTTTCCAAAATTGAAATTAGAGCACATTCCAAATTCACCAAACAACTTGTGTTCCCAAGAGCTTTAGACAAACTGCACTCTGCTGTACAAGCTTAACAACTCTCTAACTCCGTTTCAATATGGAGTAATGTGCTTCCATTTATGAAAGGCTGTGGAGCACACAGTCCGTTTCCCTTTTTTTGCCACACAATGTAATCCCACACTAACACACACACAAACTCTGTATCTCTCTCTCTCTGGTGCAGCAGATTACTGTACATTGTATTGATTACTGGCCCATCCACCAACTGAAGATGACATGGGTGTTGTATATCGGATTACTTCAAGGTCAAATCATGAAAAAGTTACGCATACAAATACAGTACACGCACACATACTTATGCGAACCCACAAATCCACTACAAAATACAAGACTTTTTAGTTCTTATCACAGATAGACTGCACACAAAACAAACACATTTGAACATGTATATGTATCTGTCATTGTAACCCCATATATAGTCTTTCTGTTCTGATACAATGCATTTTTCATCTAATACAATGAGTTTTAAAACAGTTCACTTGGCTTGAAAGTAGGAGAATTTTCTCAACCCCTAAAGAAACACTTGATCCCCCCAAATTTGGAAATACACTATTTTCTTTGGACAGCCATGTCTCTGAGGATCAATAAAAATAGCTGTTCTGTGTGATCTGGATCATCCCACAATAGGTAGCATTTAGAAATGCCAGAATTTCGAAACATATCCTTGCTCTTTATAAAACCAGTGTCAAGGTGTAAAAAGCCAATGCAGAAATAACAGTGCAGTTGAGAGGCAGAATAAGTGTGATGGCCAGAAGCTTATGAGTCCTATGTGGTTGCCTATCTTTAATAGTGGGACCCTTCTATTTCCTGGTGGAGACAGCCGCTATCACTCTGCCTGATGTATGATTGCCCTGGGCCGCATGGTTGTGTTGGGGAACCATGGATGTACGATTAATTTGTTTACTCAGCTGGTGTACTTCATAAAAGGCCCACTGAGTTGAACTTGGCACTTTGCAGTAATTGACTAGAGTGGATCCCTAGGTCCTTATCGGTCTGCCTTGATGGGCCTCCATTCTAGTTAAGTGTTGTCCAGGCCCATTATAAACAGCAAACAACACAAAATAGTGCAATACACATTCTCTAATGCACTGTGGATCATTCTCTACACCGTCCATAAAATGCTTTAAAGAAGTAAGGAAACAAAGGGGTGATAAAATTTTGCTCGAAATTGAACATACTGTATTTATTTCCATAATGATGCCTGTAAAAATAAAACAAAACTGCTGCTTTGACAGAAACACAAGCATAGATGTGGATCCCTTTTGACAATGGCGATTATCATATTTGTGATTTTTTAACTGTATAATTGAAGCTAGCCTCAATACCCCTTTGGGAGATGGAGTCAAAGCAATGTTGCCTGCTTGCAGCACACAAAGTAATTCACCCTAGGAGTGCTCAGATTAAGTAATTATACCGGCACAAAAGCAAGCTCAGTGAGATAGCTTGTGCATAATAAGAACTAGGGGGTATGAATGGAGAGGGCTTAATTTTGCCTGTTCCACAGTTGTCAATGCTTTGTCAAGGCAGTCCTATTCTCGAGCTGCTGGTGGTTCTTATTCAGAGACACTCTTACACTGATTGTAATTACACAGACGTGAATGAGACTCTCTGCTGGTTTGGTGCAACTCATTTGATGCCAGAACAGTGCAGGATACACTGTTTGGCACTGGAAACCAACTCATCAGTTCCAGAAAAAAACAAAACAAAGTAATAATGAAAAGGGCCGTTCTGGTACAAATAAAATTATCCTAGTTTTTTCTTTCAGTTGTCTTTTTCACACTATTTTGAGAAAGCAATTCCACTTCCACCTACTCTGTGGTATATCTTTGGTCAATTACACAAAGTAGGCATGGCAAAGCTTTTAGTACAGAGAATTTGGAGAAAACAAATTGCATGCATGAAGTAAATTACAAACAAAATTGAATTTGGCATGTTTACGTAGGCAAAATGGAAGGATTATGACCAAAAAGCAATACTTCCTGTGGCTTTGATTGTTGCATTGTTCAGAGGCTTGCCAGCCAACCTTGTTTCCACAGCCACTCAATTCTGTTGCCCCTGCAACTCATCAACAATGAGATGTGATTGGTTGCATTTTTTATATTAGGTTCTTTGAGCCTTGAATCTTTGATTTACTTCCATCAAGTTATACTACTTTGTTTCTTGTTTTCAAAAGTCATGTCTACTCTAACCATTACTCACAATGAATCAGTCCAACTTTATTTCAATCACACCACAAGCAAACACAAATGCAGATAAATTAAGAGACTTTGGTGTTGACCCCATCAATTACATTGACTTTTAGAAGGAGAATCCTATATCCAATTGGAGAACCCCCTGGGTAATTGTAGACCAGGCATTGACAATGGTGGTGGTAGGATGGTAAAAGGGCGAAGTAGCAAAGCAACAAAACAACAAGACTGCAATAACAGCACAAAAAGGTACAGTGTTTTAAATACTCTTCACATAAGTTGCTCATTGGTCCCAATTTAATTACTGGATGATAACAGAGGTTTAGACCTAGAGTGATGACGAAATTAGAATTATAATTGTCTTCCTCCGTAAACTTGCACTAACAGCTTAATTTGTATTTATTTTGTAGGGTAGAGGGTAGTAGAGCATTACAACAGTCAAGTCCACTAGAAATTAAATCAAATGAGTGAATGTGTCTCTTTGTGTCACTCGGGGAGAGATTTTAGGTGTTTTTTTGTTTTTTTATGAAAAAAAGCTTATTTGGTGATATTCTGCACAAGTCTTGAGGTTAAGTTCCTAGTCAAAAATAATACCAAGGTCTCTTGCCTGAAGTCTAAAAAAAAAATTAATTTTAGAGCCAGTTTCTCTCTTAACCTTGGACTGTATAACTAACAGTTCAGTTTATTCTGTAAATCTGGTTGAGCTGTAAGAGTTTTATGACATCCATCCAGGCACAAAAATACACCTAAAAGAGCATCAATTGGTCCTGTGTCATCAGAAGAACACAGCCAGATAAAGTAGTGTATCATCAGCATATAGACAGAGATTCCATGTTTCCTGATGACTCTATCAGCTATAGATTAACAGAGATGTAACAAAAAAACAGGACAGAATAGATTGGTTCTATTGGTAGCATCGATTCTAATGTGTAACAAACTTAACTGGACTGCTTGGTGGAAATGTAGCTTTAATATGAACTCCAAAGTCTGTACCTTTCCCATTGGCCTGATTGGCAGGTCTCAGTCTCAAAGTGTGATTATTGAGTGAAAGGCTTGTCATTAAAAGTTAGTGAGAGAAGGCTGTTTCATCTGCACACACACACAACACGTACTTGCTTATAAACACACACATAATTA